ACAGTGTCACTGGCCCTCATATGTGGGATCCAAACCGGGGCCCTCTGGCGTCCCAAGCCAGTTCTTATCCATTGCGCCACTCGGCCGGCCCCAGCTATGACTGTTCTTAAGAACTCTTTCTGTGTTTTTATTTGCTCACTGTACATTTCTATAGGTATACTCTTTCACTGGCTTCTGCATAGTGCTGCATATACACGTATGCCTCTCTGAAAACCTAGCCCATTTAGCTACCCACCACCTGGTACACATAGACACATTTATTGAGGTAGAACCCCCATATGTTCAACTATATCATCTGATCTTTCCAGTCCTGCCAGAGAATGCAAGGGACCCAAAGATACTGTTGCTCCCTCCATGTGGCTTCTCATAGACTCAGGTTTTCTGTGTCCTCTTTTTCTCATGAATTTCTAGTTATGAGCCAAAAATTAGAAACAGATCATAGTTTGTTATTTTATTTATGTAACACTTATTTTGTACTTACTAGGTGCCTGGTATTCTTCTGATACTAAGCTCTATACAATATAATCTCATTTAATCCATATAACCATAGACGCTATTGCAACCACATTTTATAGCTCATATTATAGATAAGGAAACTGAGTCATGGAGAGGTAAAGTAACTTTAACTTGCCCAAAGTCACAAAAATAGCAAGTGGCAAAATCACTTAAGTTAACTTTTTGTCCTTAATACCTATACTTTTATAAAATGTTAATTTCCTAAGAAATAAAGGCCTTTTTATAAAATAATACTTCTAAGGAGCCATTCCTCATCTTTAAAAAATTAAAAATATTGCTCAATTTAACAAAACATTTTAAAAGAAAAGAATAAGGCGTTCATCCCATCGTGCGTTTTTTCCAACAATGGACTGGAGTGTGGGTGAGGAGGGCCTGGAGCACACCGAGCTCCGTCTTTCAGTCACAACTAGAGTGCGTGTATCAGAATGACAGCTAGAGTTCATATTGCTGTAACAGATAAAAGAATTAGGTAAAGAATAAATATCTTAGGTGTTTAATTTTCAAAGGAGTGATGACTTTCATCATCCTCAGCTCCTCTTGATCCATGCAGTGGACTTAAAATAGATATCGTTTACTAGGACAGGCTTTTCCTTAAGGGGTCTTCCTAAAGGTGCCCATTTTGTTATATTACATAATTATTTTGGTTGGGTTGTTTAGTGTTGCTTCTCTGGGAATTCTCAATATATTCATATATAAAAACATGTTTTTAATTTTTAGTTATATAAAATTATCTTTAATTTTCCTGAAAGTCCATTAAATACTGCATAAATATTGCATACATTTTAGAAAACATAGAAACATAAATGTTTATAATTCTTTTTTGTGTAGTACTTAACATTGCTTCTTAACCTTCACCTTTTCGCTTTTCAGTTGTTTACATGTTGGGGAGTGAGAACATCTGGGATACCTGTCAGTATGTGCTCTGTCACTGGGCTTAGCCATCCCATTACATGAATGGATGAGTTCATTCCAAGTCTAGATTAATAGAATTTACCAGAATCTTTGTTTAAAAAGAATACTGTTTGAGCCGAATTATTGTAGATATGTGTCCATTTGCATATACTTATTATTAATATTTTTCATAATATGAGATATTTTTATGCCCATAGGCTCCACTGGATCATACCAGTGACAAGTCTCTTCTTGATGCTAATTTTGAGCCAGGAAAGAAGAACTTCCTGCATTTGACAGATAAAGATGGTGAACAGCCTCAAATACTGCTGGTAAACTATTTAGAAATCTGTATATTCATAATTTTTGTGCACTGTCACCTCTACTTGGGAAGCAGTTTTGCAAAGGAAGGAGGAGAGATGTGTTTTGTAATTTATGTATAATAAATTATTTTTCTGTTTTATGTTGGTTTGCTACAAGTGTATATGTTCACCTGATTACACTGTTGTTTGTGTATATAGTCTGTTGCCCTGCTGGGAACACGGGATGCCATCATTAAAACCACCACCACAGGGATGGGTCTCTAGGATAAGTTAAAATGCCACAAAGATCTCCTACTATGTTTCAGTGGCCTTTCCTTTGGCTAAGCATTAGCTTGGTTTCTGTAAGTCATTGGCAGCTTGACCAAGGTCCCCCCCCCCCCCCCCCCGTATTTTGGTGGAGGGACAGACCCCCAGAATTTTCTATGCTGGCATTTTCGCTCCTCCTTTCCCCTTCCCCTCTTTTTGGGAATGACTAGTTTGTAAGTTATATGCTCTATTTCTATTCTTTTAGTGTTTACACAAATTCATATTTCCATAGGCTTTCCTGTCTGGTCCAGTGGCCTTAAAGATATTTAATGCAGTAACTCCCAATTTGAGGTGCTTTCCTTAAAAGACCGAGAAAACCTGGCCTGATTCATTCAACCTTGCTATCTTAAGGACTGAGGAAAGGAAGGCTCAGAAGATTCATGGGCTTTTTCAGAACCCTTCTTTTCAGTGAAACTTTCCTTAGGAAAAATCCTTTTGATGCTTTTCATTTAGAGGTCTATTGTGAATTAGAATGCCTCTTTGGAAAGTATGTAATAATTAAACACAGGGCATTCATACTGAAACAATATCAGAATATGCTCTCTGACCTTCCTTAATATCATCATTTATGACATCATGCGAAGATTTTAATTAGTCTGATATTGAAATTAGCTATTAATTTAGGAACCTCTAGATTCACAATTTGGAAATTCATGTTTTAAAATGCAGAGTAATTACTCTTCAGCTCTGTCTTAATTGTTTGTGCTGACTTCTATATCCCTTAATCCTTTTCCACATTTTTCTTATTAATAGGAGGTTTCATATTGGAGACAATAGGAAACTATCTATTTAATCCAACACTTACTGAATATCCTCTACCTGCCAGGCCTACTTGGTGAGGATGATAGAAAACTGAGTGATAGACTATGTCATCAAGGAGTTCACAATGGTACTTTTGATTTATTAGTACCAAAAATCTCCTTCTCTTGTTTAAACAATATTTGAAAGAAAATTAAAGAAGATTGGGAGTGTAAGAACTTTGGAAGGAGACATGAGCACCTCTCTAAAGTGTTTTATATCAGACATCTTTCAGACCTTCCTACAGGAAATAGTGAGGGTATACACTCATTTAAATGTCTTGGTAGTAACAGTGATAGTAATGCCTCATCCTTTTTCCATTGCCTCAGCAATTAGTATGTCTTTTTTCATTGTTTCAGCAACATTTGCCATTCAGTAAATATTGGTTATGTCACCTTTTAGGAAGATTCCAGTGTTGGGGATGACAGTGTCCATGACAGATTTATCGGTCCACTTCCCAGAGAAGGTTCTGTGGGCTCCACCAGCGATTATGTCAGCCAGAGCTACTCCTATTCATCTATTTTGAATAAATCAGAAACTGGTAAGATTTGTTGTTGTATTTTCATGAAATATAGGGCATTAGACCCAGAGTAATATTAGTGATCTCAAGCCTAATCCCCTCATTTTATGGAGTAGAAAACTGAGTTAGAACAGGAATGTGGTTTCCCTTTTCCTCCACCCATTGTTTTTACTGTATTGTTACTGCCACTATTTAATAATAAGTAAAAAATGTTGACTATTGTATTTTGAAGGAAGACTTTTCTTTTTGGTAATTTTCTATTTTGAATTAATCCTAAAATTTTGATATTGACTTCCTTTGAAAAGGAATGTTTCTGTTATATACTTTTGGGTTAGAATAGACTATGGGGGATACTTTCATTTTGAAGCAGATAGACTAGTGTTATTTTATTAGACCTACTGCGTTATCTTTTAGTTTAATCATATGTTTGAAATTAATCATGTAATTTAAAATTTCCTGTTAACTTTTTTCCAAACGTAATTAAAGCTGGAGCTTTTAATTTTTTCAATTTATTGAGCTAGTAAGGTTTCTTAATTTTGCAAAGGTTCATTTATATAGGATTGGTTAATTGCCTAAACATATAATCTAGATATTTTGCATATCATTTCAACTTAAAACAAACTTTGCAGTAGACAGTATTACTTATGTTAAAAGAAATGGAAACTGGGGTATAGAGAAGCCTTTGATTTCACAGCTAGTTAATGCTAGGTATGGCTTCTGCACTTTTACTCTTAGAACTTCAAAACAGATGACTTTATTACAAATATCTGGTATAAAAAGAAAACCGTAGAGTTACATTGCAAGTTCTGTTTTAATGTGACCTGTAATCTTCCATTTACTATATTTTGTAATTAAAATGTAGAATAATTTCCTCATAGGTAATCGTTTGTGCAGCTTATTGGTGTATTTGTAAAGGCTGGTCATGTTTGGTATTTAGGATCCTTTAAGTCAGTAGAACATTTTGCAGCAAACTGCCAAGAATAAAAAAGAATGCAAAATTATCTTTTATTTCAGATAACAGGAGACAATAAAGCTGTTTCTTATTATACTGTCTACAGTAGTGATTCTCAAATTTTTATTTCTTAAAAAGTCATTTGGGGATACTTGTTAAAAAATGTGGGTTCAAGGCAATACTGATTTAGCAGCTCTGGAGCAGGCTGGTTAAATTGCGTTTGTTTTAAATAAGCACCCTAGATTATTCTGAGATAGTTGGAATACTTTGAGACAAAGTTCCAGCTTTAATAAATAAGGATTCTTAAAATATTTGTTTTGTATTCTGACAACCAATTCAGCCTTTATGCAACAAGTATTTTCAGAATTCCTACTTTGTGCTGTGTGCTGGATGGCTCTTTGACACTTGTAAATTCCTAAAGACTAAAACACACTTAAAAAAATGTTTTCCTCTCATTATACAAATATAATACATGTTCATGGTCATACTATAAAATGAAAAAAGTAAGAATCATTGACAGTATTCCTAGCAGAAACTACCTCTAGTGACTTACTTATTTTTGTCTTGTCTTTCCTCTATATGTTTGCTGTTAAGAAAAGAGGATAATCATGATATGAGTAGATTTTTAATTTATATTTTTCACATAATACTATATGGGAACATTTTTGAATACTCTTAAATAGTATTTTAATATGGAGTTTTAAATGACTGAAAATTAGTGTTTCATTGTATGGTTTAGGTATTTAAACTGTCTATTACTGATGTTATAATGAACGTTTTTGCACATAAGTTCTTATTTTCATCTCTGATTATTTCCTTAAGGTAAGTTCCCAGAAATTGAATTGCTAAGTTGGAATTTATTTTTAGAAATTTTAGAGGCCTTTGGTAATTACTGTTCCTCACACACTTCTACTTCACTCCTTTCTCCTACCTGTACATTTTCCTCCAGTATTCAGGATTAAAATGGTCTATGAGCACGCCAAGGAGTTGTGGTTCAAAACTTATTTTGTTAGTGACTATTGAATTTGCATTTTTTTAAAGAAATTATTATCAATCTTGGCACCATGTGCAAAATGTTTTCTTTGAAAAATGTTCTCATGATTTCATCTCAGGGCTCTGGGAACACGTTTCTCTATAATGTAATGGGTTTGGGGACTTTACCTATTCTTTCCTGTCTTCTTTGCCTACCAACCCCCTCTCGTAGCCAGCCACTGTTGATAGAAAATGGTTGGGCATGGGGAGGTATGAATTTTGAGGAATAGGAGTGGATTGAAGGCTGATACAGACTTGGAGGTGATTAGAAACTATATGACTGGGGTGTTTCATCATTTAAATCTACACTACCTGTCCTTGGCCAATTTCTTTAACAATTCTTTTATTTTATTTACTCCAGGAGTTTTTGCCTGTTACATTCTACTTCATTTGGCCTGTCTGATTTCTACTTGATTACCTGTTCGTTCTGTTCAGTATTTATTTCTGTACGTGCCCTCTTCAGAATGGCATTTGTTGTCGCATTCTTCTCCCTTAACTGGCTTATACTTAATAATAAGTATATTATTAAGTTGTGATATATACTTGTGAATAAGTGATTCATGAGTATTTCAGGTACAGGACCCATTTGATGATCATAGTTGTCATTTAAAGTTTGTTGATTTAGACAATACATAATGACAAAAGATTTCTATTAATTCATTAGCATTTTTATTAGTCTCACTAAAATCTTCCTATTTTGAGAAAATAATAGTACATTTATGTGAGACACCTCATTCTTTCTAAATATGATGCTAAGTCAAGTACAAAAGACTATAAATTCCTGTATGATTTTATTGCTGATGACAAAATTGAGTGAGGGCAAAAATGAATTGTTGTTACTCCCTCCCTTTCCATAAACCTGGTCCCCCTACCACTGTTTTTTTTTTAAGTGCAGGGAAGAAAAACAACATCACAAAGAAATGATACACAACTGGCCTGGGGGGACAGTAGTAGTATTCATTTACGTTTTAAAGCTGCAGGTAGAGCGGTTGTCCCTCACTGTTGAGGAATCCGGGGGAGGAGATGGAGAAGAAGGGAGATTCCAGGCAGCCTCAGCCGAGAAGGTGTAGAACAACCTGTGCACCTGGCCAGAGCGCTGTTGTATGCGGAGAGTCTGCTTATATGAACTAAGAATTAAATAATGCTTTTCATTATTCATAATCAGGCCAGATATCATACAGATTTGAGTTACTTGCAAGTCTTACGCACTTCCCCCTCATCTGTGTTCCTGCTGTTGTGCTAAGTAGTAGGCTAGAGAAATCTGATTGAACCCCTGCCCTCACGGTCTGATGGGGAAGATACATAATAGGTAATTACAGAACAATGAGGTTGTTCCTGAGATGGATTAAGGACAGGGTGCTATGAAAACAATGCAGATCGGAGGTGGTTAGAAATTGAAGCAGTTTATAGTTATAAAACAAAGTAGAATAAAATATATAAACACAGTGTTCTTAAAATAAAGATGAAAGCCTTTGGAAATCAAAGCTTTAACCTTAGTCCATTGTGAAAAGTGATTAACCACTTGGTGTTTTAGAATCGTACAGGTTCAGATAGTGTGGAATCTGTTTCTCTTTTTTACACTAACCAAGATTCATTGTGCATATACGTAGTTTGGTCCTTTCATCACCTTCTTTAGCAAGATAGTTATCCACAGAGCCCACCATTTCTTAAGACATTTTTTATAATTGTTGGGAAATTGAAAAAGTATTTTGAAAAGCTTCAGTGAACACCTTCAGCATCTTTTGATAAAAGATTTAAGTGTTTTTTGAGACAACCAAGTCATTCATTATTAAGTAGGAGTACATACGTTTATTAAGCAAGGTGTTCACCACATTTTGCTCAATAATGAAGGTATAACTAAAATATGAGACTTTTTTTTGTGTGTATATGTATATCTCATAAACGGCCTGAAGTTTACTTCAAAAGAGAAGTTCCAAAAATGTTCTCAGCACTGGTGGCCATATCCAATTAGATATATAAAGCGAAGTACTTTGAATCATTTACTTAAATTTGAAGTTCATGTAACTTTCTTCTTTCCCTCTTCTCCCTACCCCTCTCTGTTCTTCACTACTTATGTCCCTGACTTTGTACTTTATAATCACTTTTTGCATAGCTTACTGATCTATAGAATCTCATACTTTATGGCTTGTTAAAATAGTGGAAGTCGTTCTGAGTTTTCATATATGGATTTATCTCATCTGTTATTTATTCTTCATAGAAATTGGTTTATAAGGCCTGATGACAGAGATAACTGGTTTAGTTCAGTCTTCCTACATTGGGTGTGTGATAGTTAAAGTGGATATGTTTTATTTTTCCATTTTAATCCACAACTTTTGGATTTGGGGACCAAAGATTTTTATGTCAATTAAACATATTTCTCTTAAAATTGTATTAAATGCTATATAATATCCATGTGTATACATGGAAATATATAACAAGATAACCTACTTTTTCTGAGAAGCAAGGTTTACATAATGCACATATGAGAAAAGGAATCTTAGCTGCTGTTGAAAAAAATTGCAGTTATTTCCAGCTGAGTAACCTTAACCTCTCAGTTTTTACTGCGTATTAAATTCTTATTAAGTTCTTGTTATTTTTTAATATAAATGCTGATTTATGTTTATTTGTGTTTTCTTTTTAAAGGGTATGTGGGATTAGTAAACCAAGCAATGACTTGCTATTTGAATAGCCTTTTGCAAACACTATTTATGACTCCTGAATTTAGGAATGCATTATATAAGTAAGTATTTTAAAAATTATAAAAATAAAACTGATTTAAGAATGAAAATGTAGTTTTTAACAAAGTCTAATCTATCTTCTAGCAGTTATTTATATGGTTCGGGGCATTTCTCACTTCATAAGATAGATTCTTGAATAGTATTATATAAGAAGGATTTTATGAGAGATTGGCCTATAAAAAATTTGTGAGGAAAGGAAATCAGAAATGTATAGACAGCAAAGGATAAAATTGATATGATTTACATTTGGAATAAATTATTGTATATAAGCTTCCCTTTCTTATAGCTTTCACTCCTTTATGTAGAAATATGTTACCTGTTTTTTGAGATAATCCGAATGTGTAAACCACTTCTGATTTTCCTCCACTTTTCAATTTAAGAAACAAAGTTCTTTTTAAACTTGCGAACTTTGTTTCTAGTTAATATACAATGCAACTGGTGTCTTGTGTATGTGTATATGTGTGTGTTTCTAAAAGACTGTTTATATATATATATATATATATATATGGGCCAGCTGAGTGGCTTAGTTGGTTAAGAGCTCACTCAAGAGCTCAATTCCCAGTTCTAGCTGAGCTGCCAACAGGTGGCAGGATGGCTCAGCTAAATAAATAAATAAATAGATAGATAGATAGATAGATAGATAGATAGATAGATAAGTCTGTGTGTGTGTGTGTGTGTGTGTGTGTGTGTGTGTGTGTGTGTGTGTGTGTATCAGATACATGCTGTATGAAGGAAGTCCATATTTAAACCCTAATGTCAGGCATTTATTTTTATGAGTATCAACTGTACATTTAATACACCCTTGCTTTATATGTTTTCTTTAAGTTATACATAACGTTTTTAAGACATTTTAAAGTACAGATAAACTGATTTCTTTCCTTTTTTGTGTTACTTTTGAGTACATCTTTGAAATTACTGTAAATATGTATTTAAAGTATTTTTGGAACTTTTAATATTGGTTGTATTATTCAAACAACATTATATTACCATTACATTCATATGCAAGCTCATTATCTGAATTTACTTATAAAAGTTGACATGTTTTTCATTCGGCAAGTATTTGTTATCCAATAGTGTTTATGTGCTAGGCACTTGGTGGATAGGGATGGAGTTAGAAATAAGGTCTTTGTTCTTGGGTTAGTTACAGACCTCTTCACAATAGCAACATGTATATGTATGAAATACAGAGGGTGCCCAAAAAAATGCATACACTTTTTAAGAAAGGAAAGAAAAACTATTAAAATTGTAGTAATATATACCGATAACAAAAGATGAATACAAGTCATGTGTATACATTTTTTTGGCACTCCCAGTAGTTTGAATAACATTTAAAGACAGCTAAATGCCGTGATAGTTTAGAGAAAAGGGAGATCAATGACATTTGGAGAAGGGGCTTAGTGTAGAAAGTAGAGTATGAGGTCATGGAGCTAGCTGTGGTCTGGCCAGCTTGAGAAGAAAGAGCATTGCAGGTAGGAGGACTTTCAAGAGCAAAAATGAGTAAGTCAGTGCTACCTGAATGCAGATAATTGTTAGTTTGTATCAGATACCGCACTGAGCACTTTACATATAGACTCATTTAATTTTCATGGTAACTATATGAATGAGGCGATGTTATTACCCACATTTTACAAAGGAGGTGACTGAAGACACAGAGAGGTTAAGTACTTTGCCAGAGGCTGCAATGCTAGAAGTAGCACACCCAGTAGATAACATAATTCATTTCCCTATTCTGTCTGTATTGTAGCTGATGCCAATAAGTATAATATGTCCCAGGGGCCTCCAGGAGATCAGCAAAACTGGAGTTTTGTCAGAGTACTGGAAGTTGAGGCTAATAGATGGAGTCTGGAGCCTGCCCTCAAAACTAGAACAAACTGTATAGCCTAGGGTGATATGCCTGCTTTGGTGAGTAGTACAGAGGAGTGGGGATCCCAGGAGCTTGATTAACCCTGAGTCCTGACCCCTGAAAGTGGTCTGTGAATTTACGACACTTGGAGAAGACTAAGCATAGGCAGGGCTACTCATTCAGCCAACATTGGGTAATTACTTTGTGCGAAGCACCCTTTTAGGCACAGAGATTACAGTAGCGAATAAGACAAAGCCTCTCCCTTAGGCCTTCCATAGGTCAGCTTATGTCAATGAGTTCATTTCACACAGTCATATATGCCATGAAGAAAATAAAGTAGGGCAATGTGGAAAGAGTAACTGTCAGGAGTTGGGGTAGGTAGCCCGGGAGGGCCCTCTAAGGAACTACCAAGTGAATAGACTTCACAGGAGCCAGTCCTCCGAAGATCTGGGGGAAGAGCATTCTAGGCAGACAGAACTGCAAGTGCAAAGGCCTGTGAGGACAAAAAGAAATCCGTTGTGACTAGAGCCCAGTGAGTGAGGAGGGGAAGGGAGACATACCGTTAAAGAGGAAGTCCAAATGCCTTGGGGATTGTGAGAAGAGGGGCATTTATTGCAGGTGGGGAAGCAAAGCCTGAGAACCTGGTGATGTTTCATAGTGTAGAAGGGATGTCTTGTTAAAAAGGCTGGGCCTCACTGGACTACAGACAGGGTAGCATGAAAGGATAGGGTTCTGTTTGCTTATTTTTTCCACTTGTTATTTGATAGCCATCAGAGACTCTACCACTTTAAGATGTGGAGGCATGTAAGTGATGTGTTGTTTTAGGAAAGTTTATATAATGCAACAGCAGAATTTATTTGAAAGGGAACCTTGGAGAAATCTGTTATTAAACCAGGCATGGATAATGGAGGGTCAAAATGGAGGTGGAGGCAGTGGTTATTATATTTAAGATTGAAAACTGATATAGCTTAGTGACAAATTGTATTTAGGAGTAAAGGAAAGGGAAGAATCAAATATGGCACCCAAGTTTCTAATTTATGTGACTGGAGTAACAGCAAGTATCAGCCTGATTTAAAACCTTTTAAGGTATTTGCACCAGGACTAAAGGACAGGTGAGAATTCAGTTATTATATTACAGTAATTCCTCCCCACCAGTGAATTTCGCTGGCAAGAAATTTAAGCATTCTGTATTTTGACTTCACTGTTTCTTTACAGCTACTGGGAGAAATTTAAGTCCCATAATGCCAATGTAAAGTCCCTTCTGTTGAGAAAAATAAGAATAAAAGAGGACTAGAGATTGAATATAGAAGGGCAGAGAGTTAAAGCAGATGTCAGATAATGAGTAGAAGTGTTTGCAGGGAGCTTTGAGAAGAAAAAAGTGAAATGTATTCCACTGACATCTGCAAGGCAGAAGGGAGCTTCGGTGTGTTAAAAAAAGGGACAGGATCACAGAACTGCAAATTCTACGCCCTAAAATAAGAAAAGTATTGAACACTTTAACAGAGGGCCATTCTAAAAGAAAAAAATGAAATCCTTTTAGTAGATTTGTAAATTGCAGCAGAGGAAAATTAATTCTCCAGCCTCTTTTTGAAACAAACAGGTTCTAGTGAAGAAGTGAAAAGTAATAATTTTATTGCCAACTTAAGAAAACGAGAATCATTAATATTACCTTTAATATTTTGTCTTTGGCATTTTATTTTATTGTATATAAATTATTTTAAGGACTTTTGTGAGTACATTACAAGCTTTAGTCCCCTGCTCTTATTTTTTTCATGAAATCTTAAGTTCTTTGCTCATTATTGAGACAGACCCTGTAGTTAAGGCTAATTAATGTTTATCATAAGTTTGTGAGGTTAAAAGTCTTATCTGGATTATTTTATTTACTTATATTCTCATTTTAAAACATTTTATTATGGACAATTTAAAACATATTGTGAAATAGTGTAATAAATTTCTCTGTACCCATCATCGAGCTTTGAATATTATCAACTCATGATCAGTCCTTTTTATTGATAATCCTCCACTCTGATTTTTTTGGGGGGAAAAATGCATATATATCTCATGCTATTTGTGCTGTAGTTTTCAACAGTTTGGATTTTGATTGTTGAATGCCATTGTATCATTTAATATTGTTCTAGTCCCTGTATTTTTTGTGAATCAGTAATTAGGACAAAAGTCTTGATCAGATACAAGTTTGACGATCACTTTCAATGTGCTTTGTTTTTCATTCATATTGCTTTCTTAGGCCTTTTCTTGGTAAAGTCTAAATTTTTCTGAATTTATGAGTTGGAAGAAAAACTAATGTTTCATTAGATATTAATGGCTTCAGTTAATACCCAAACTATATAGCCCCCACCAGGTAGGATCTTACATTATTCTGATGTTTATAAATAATTTTCAATAATTTCATTTCGATAGGTGGGAATTTGAAGAATCTGAAGAAGATCCAGTGACAAGTATTCCATACCAACTACAAAGGCTTTTTGTTTTGTTACAAACCAGCAAAAAAAGAGCAATTGAAACCACAGATGTTACAAGGAGCTTTGGATGGGATAGTAGTGAGGGTACTAATTCTCTTGTAATGTAATAAGTATTTCTAATAGTCAAAGGAATTCTAGGAGACTGTATTATAAACAAATAACAAAGTTACACAAATTAATAACTTAATTAACTTTACCTTAAACATTTTTATTGCTTTTTGCTGGGATTTAAAAATAACTTATTTTTAAAATTTAAGCTCTGAGGGGTAAATTTTTGATCAATTAAAAATTTCTTGTAAAATACATTTGGTAATACTCTATTTGTATGTAGTTAAACTAAAAGTTTTAGTTTGTTGTCTTAGATTTTTCTTAACTCTACAGTGAAAAATAACAAAAATAGCAGATACTATAGCACCATAAAGCATATATTATTTATAAAATGCTGAGATTTCTTGATTTTTTTCCTTGTGATTGCCTTTTCATGACTATAATGTATGTTTTGTGTTCCTTTTAAATTTATCATTATTTCCTGTAGACTTTTCCATGCTTCTGACAAATTTGCTTTTAAACAACAAATTAACATTTTACTGCACTAAATTTATTGCTATTTTTAATTAAATTTTATCTTAAAATAGCTTGGCAGCAGCACGATGTACAAGAACTGTGCAGAGTCATGTTTGATGCTTTGGAACAGAAATGGAAACAAACAGAACAGGTAATTCATCCCTCTCAAGTTGAGAGGAGTGTTTCTAATAAATCATGTATTACCTTAAAGTGACTTTTGTTCTATTGTAATGTTTTAACTTGGTCATAGTTCAGTTGTTAAGTACTAAATGGGGAATTGAAAGTACTAGGTTCTCACTTGGCCATTTGCTGAGTCATAAAAATCCTCATTAAACAACCCTAGACCTCATTTTCCTCATCTTTAAAATAAGGAAGTTGGGCTCTATTATCTAGATGGTCTCTTTAGCTAAGAACTGTATAATTCACATTCAAAACTGTATACACATTCATATATGTGTGTGTATGTGCATGAGTGTGCATGCATTTTGGGGGGGACATGATTTTTGAACAGTATTTTCAGATATTTACTAAGTAAATTTATAATCTGTAGCACATTATTCATCAAGCATTAAATATTCATCAAGTATATTCATCAAGCATTACCTTCGTTTGACCAATGAGGTGTAGTCATATGCTTTTGACATTCAGGATCCTTGTTAATCTGACCTTATTCTTCTTATCCTATGGTAGGAGAAGCAGGTTTGAAGATGGGAGAACATTAGATATATCATTAGGATCAGGAATAGGGCTGAACATGGGGCTCAGGACTCAGTACAAAAGATTTGTACTGGGTGGAGTGCTAGAGGATCGATCATAGGGATAAAAAAGGGGAAGAATATGGAAGATAGCCTGGAGAGTCTACGGTCTGATTGGAACGATTATGATGGCTTGGACCAGAGTTTTTCAAACTCCTTTCGTGGGTTATGAAATCAGTTTAGTGAATCTACACCATCACTTAAAAAAAATGGAATAGGGCCGGCCGAGTGGCGCGATGGTTAAGAACTGGCTTGGGACGCCAGAGGGCCCCGGTTCGGATCCCACATATGAGGGCCAGTGACACTGCCCTCCACAGCTAAGATGCTGAACAGCAGCTCAACCTGGAGCTGGGCTGCCGTGAGTCGCCGGCGACGGCGTAGGCTGCAGCCCCTGTGGCAGTGGGTTGCCATGGGCTACCGTGTGTAACCAGCAGCCAGCGTGAGCGGCCAGCAGCCGCAGTGAGCGGCTGTCCAGAAGCCGGCGACTGATCGGCCTCGCCCGGGAAGAGCGCAATGATGGTGCCAACTTGGGCCAGTGAAGCAACGTCCTCCACAACTAGACTGAAGAACAAAACAACAGCAACTTGTCTGATCCCCTTCCCCAATTCCCCAGCGCTGTTTCCATCCCCCCAATTCCCCAATAAAAATCTTAAAAAAAAAAAAATGGAATAGAATAGGAAAGTATAAGAGAGCATCACATAAGTAAGGGTAAGTATTTAATTGTGCAGCTTTTGTTAGTAATATTACTTGGTTTCAATGAAAATTATTTTCTTTTTGTGGGTTACTGTCAATACTGTTTCAAAAACACTGAATTGAACCACTTAGAAATGCCCTCCCACATGCAGAAGACAAAATCAAATATGATTAGGGCAGGTGAACGAGAAAGGCTTTATTAAATAAATAGTATTAGAGTAAAAATGATGGTAGATCCTAGTTTGACGATTTATAAATCCTAGACGTTTGAAGAGATGTAAATTTATGAAAGAGGTAAACTTACCTCTTGTTTTCAACACTTTTTTCTTGTCTATTCTTAAGATATATTGAAAAAAAATTGTAAGTTCATTTAGTGATCTGGTTTCTCTCATGCTCCTATGGGATTGTAATTTAGTAACTTTATGTAGATAGTATTAGGGAGCTGTTTCTTCCTCATAGGTCTGAGGTTACCCTTCTTCTTGCTACATCCGTCTGTGGGTCAACACTTCCATTAAGGTCAGCTGGGGCATTCCTACTGAGTTCCAAAGTTTGGGTACAAGAACCTTGAGGCAAGACGTTTACATGGAGGGTGCTTACTTAGGGAGTTGTGTGCCTTCGTTGGACCAGAACAGCCCCAGTTGGCTAAATGTGGGGAGTAGGTGAGAGATCTGGTGAAGATATTTTGAGGGAGATAGAGTTTAATATATATTTTTTAATTTCTGCACATCTAAAAAAAGTTATAGTATAAGCTTTCTTCTTAAAACTGTGTTATGCAGGTTACGGAAAGTTAAAAAGTTTTATTTGCATCTTAATCTTGAAGATACGATTTTAGAAATCAGAATATATTATTGTAAGAGTGATGATATTGCATATGTAAAGCTATGAAAACAGCCAGTTATTTAACTGTGTAATTATTAACATGCCTAAAGTGATAGATTAGGCTATATTCTCATCCTAATGAAAAGATATGAGGCTTAATAGTGTAATAAATTGGTAATTGATTTCAACAACATTTTAATAGAGGGGTTTTTAATATATGAAAATTGAACTAGTTCTTGGTCACTGATTTCTAATTTATTGTTCATCTAATTTTATTGATTTTTATTTGATTTTTATCAAGACTTGTTTTGGTTTTTTTAATAGAATTTTAGACAAACCTTAAAGCTTTCTAAAATTTCAACAGTAAGAATGAATATCCTTTTGAAACTCATTTTTAAAAGCATGAATTATTGTGTTTTCACATATTTAAAAAATTATTTTTAAGGAACACTTTTTAAAATATAAATGTTCTTATTTTTAGGCTGACCTTATAAATGAACTATATCAAGGCAAGCTGAAGGACTACGTGAGATGTCTGGAGTGTGGTTATGAGGGCTGGAGAATCGACACATATCTTGATATTCCATTGGTCATCCGACCTTATGGGTCCAGCCAAGCATTTGCTAGTGTGGTGTGTACCTTTCCGCTGACTGCTTGTGTATCCCTACACAGAATACATAATAGCACAGTGGTATAATCTATCGTAAGGTAAGTATCATCCTAGATACACCTTCTTGGGTTGTTAGTCATTCCTGCATTTAAACTAGCAAGATCTAGAAGATTTTTGACCCTTCAGTGAGTCCTAATAGTGCATGTATAAGAGGGAAAGTGAATGCGTATGTACTGCCTCATGGCTTAGTATTTTATTCTTTCTGATAGGTGACTAGATTAGTTCACTGTATTCTTTTTTTTTTTTTAACCTCTAAACAGCCTGTTCTATAAATGCTATTTTTGTGACCTTTTTTTATTATTTATTTATTTAATTTTTTTTGCATTGGAAAGTGTGTTTTGTTTTAGGGACATTGTTTTGTTCCATACACTTCCAAAATGGGAAAAATAACCTTTGATTTCATGATAAACAGAGTCCACATTTTTTAAAGGAGTGTCCCAATTCTAAAATTTAAAACTATGCATTGTGTAAGCTGATAATTTGAAGAATCAGAACTATATATATTTAGTTTATTTATATATTGAATATCTAAGTGGGAGATCATATAAGATTTTCTCATTCTTCCTGTTAAATCCATTCTTAATTGCTTTTGGTAATTTCATTATTGCATTTTAATCTTATGTATGTGTGTTTACTTATACAAGAGGAGAATCATGGAAGGAGTTAAGTTGATACTTAAAATAAGAGAGTTGAGAAACGTTTATTTTGAACCTAATATGAACCAGGGGAAACTTTCAGAGCCAAGTAAAACATCTAAAAAGTGGAATTTCATCATGGTGTTGTTTTGAGTCTATTTATACTGTTAACAAGCTGATGGTAGCTTGTAGCTAAGATCAGTGTTTTTAAAGCTAGTCTGTACTTTATCCTCTAAAGTAGTGCTGCAAGTATGGTTTAGTCCTCTGGTCTCTAGGACAGTTGATTCCCTTTGCTTTTTTTCTCCTACTTTTATATGACTATCAGAAAATAATTAGCAAGAAGTTATGGAATCAATCAGTGGAGTCCAAAGTAAAAAGATTTTTTTTTAGATAGTGGAAGATCAAGACTCTTTTCCTTCACTATTTTCAGTCTACTTCCTGAATAGACTTGAAAATTTTTGTGAAACAATTAGTAGTATCCCCTGTAAAGTGCCATTCTCGGTACATGAGATTGGCCATGGTTTGAATGGCTATTTTTGTTTTTCTTTGTTTTGTTTTTACTTTATTTTGGCAGTTTAAGGTAGAAATGAAATACTGAAAAGCCATTGAAAATTGGTTAACATTTATCTTTCAATGATTTATTTCCAGCTTATTTTTTTAAATATTGGCATTTCTTTACATACTAAGGAAATATTTGGTTGTCCCAAATGATGTAGACTGTTTTTTCTATTTTGTTTATGAAAGTATTGTTATGAGGGATTTTTTATGTATACATTCAGTTTAGTTTTTTACATATTAATTGAATATTGAGGAAGCTAGTTTTATTTGTGTTGTTATGTTGCAGTGTTATATTTGAGTATTCAGCAAATATAATTGCTTAGCTAAATATTTGTCATTATTTATTCACCTGCTGAGTTGCCACCAGAGCTCTTAAGTACATTATAGACACAGCAGCAGAGCGATTTGGAGGATACTTTTGGAGAAGTGAAGTCACATTTGTAAATGAAATTCTCCAAAGGTAGTATCCTCCATGGATATAAGGATGGTGGTTGTGGTAGTGGTGGTGGGTGATTCAGTGGGAATTGGAAATTACAGCTATGAGGCAGTATGTGAGCAGACTTATAACACACATGCGCTAATAGGGCTTAAAGAAGGCAATTTAAAACTTTCTAGACTTTGCTGGAATCTCTTGAGGGAAATAACAGCAGGTGAAACTACCCAAGATAGGGGTTCTAAGGAGGATACTACCTTCAGAGAACTTTAGTTAGAGGTAAGTGATTTCCCATTTTTTTCTGAATTCAAAACTTATGTAACCTACACTTCCTAATCCACAGAAATTATCACACAGCATCTAAAATTAGTTTTATATCACTGCTTGCCATTGTGTATTTTGTTAATTTTCTGTATTTTATGTGTTTTGAAAAGAATTTGGTATGAGTGTGGATTGTAAAAATCTAGTTAAAAGAAACATTATAAAATCTCATTCAGGCTATATAATATTTGGCCTTAATTTGAATTGAACTCAATTTTTAAGTTTATTTTCCTACTATTAATTATGGATCCTGGTATTTTTAGTCTTACTGGCTCTATAAACACACAAATACAAACACACAAATACACATACATATAGACACGTGTACATACATACACATACAACATTGATGGTTATATGTTTTGTTTATTGTATGTTCTGTTCAGTGAACCTCAATATTACAGATATGTTATATCCAGTGAGGTTAATACCTGTGTTTAATGTCAAACAAGTGTGAGGTTCTGTTGAAAATTAAAGTGTTTTTTTAAACTATCTGAAACATCCAGTTTCTGGAGTTTTATCTCCATGTTCAAATAAAGTACTTGAGAATAACATTTAAGATTAAGATATGAATAGAATTAGCACTTAGCTAATTTATCCTTCTAACACCTATAATCAATTTTTATGGTCATTTTCAGCATGGTTAATAGAGGACTTTTTAAAATGAGTGTTAGTAATTGCCTGCAATTTTTTTGAAAAGCTTTTCGTTATATTTTTCGTATTGAATTATTTTTTAGTTATAACTATGGTGTTTATTGAATTTCTGGTCTTAATTTTACCTGACTAAGTAGGGAATCAGTATTTAAGGGGTTTTCTGCCATTCTCTATCTCTCAGATTGAGTTTTGTTCAACACTAATCTCCAACGGGATTTAATAGATGTTCAGGGGAAGGCTTCTTTGATTAAATAAATTTGGGAAACTGTGTAACTATAATCCTCTTCAGGAAGTTCACAGTGTGTATTTTATCTTAAATGCCCTAAGGATTCCTGTAGTAGAGAAATTTATTTAATGTGTTCAACCTAACATTGTCTTCCTCTGTGGGACATCTGTTAATATTTCAAGGGACACTTGGATTCTGAGGAACATATTTTGGAAAGCATTGCATTAGAGTAAGGTGATTTAAGGAATATTTCTACTTCGTTACATTGACATTTATGTCCTTGGGATGTTGAGGGGGAGTTAGAATACTGAAATGTTTTAATTTCCTTTTTAAATATATTTTGTTATTAATTCTAAAAAATTAATATCAGCTGGAAAATTACTTGTATTAGTCTTTTTAAAAATTTTGTTCTTAATGATTTATTGGGTAAATGGAACCTTTTTATTTTTACCGATTAGAGCTGTCTATATAAAACCAGTCTTTCTGAATTTTATAATCAGAGAAACCTTGAATCTGCTTATTATCAAGCACATTTGAGAATGTATTATTGTAAGGAGGTAGTCCTAAATACATTCTAATGATACATAAAAATGAGAAACATAATTTTTTGGTATTGAAGCATATTTCATAAACTAAACAACAGTGTTAGAGCCTCAATGTTTGACATTAACTAGGGAAATGTTTTTCTATTTAACAGTAAAATTTTAGAACTATATTTTTTGGAGATCTTGTCATGTAACATATTTATTGAGTTGCCTACACTGTGGCAGGTACGGTTCTGTCATTTTCTATTAGGATACTTTTATTCTGTTATTGGGTAAATACATTTAAATATCTGTTTATTATGACAAAATGTGTTCAGAAGTCTGAAATTGGGTTTAACTGTATAGTTCTATATAGTGTCTTTATAAAGATCAAATTATGTAAGAATTTTGTTCCCTAAGTAAACGTAGTTCAATGAATATATTAAAGTTTTGAATGGAAAATTGTTAAATTCATAAATATTTATGAAATCATAAGCATTTCAAGTATTTAGTGTACACAAGTTAATATCATAAGCCCTTCCCTAATTTAGCAGGTGATTTGGACATTCTTATGTGGCTGACTTAGCCATATAACTCATTTGGATGGTGGAATGGTCCAAATTTGCCCAAATTTGTAAGCATCACATAAAGAAAAATCTCTTCCACAGACTCTGCCCTCATTTTTCCAGGAATTGATGTGGTTGAACATAGTGGGAAGCAGTTTAAAAAGTACGGACTTCTGCTTTCAGGAAGATGGAGTAGATGTACATTGCTCTATTCCTCCCACTAAAACTGAAAATCTTGAACATTATTTATAAAATAAACATAAGAAAGATTCTGAAAGGCATAAAGACTAGGGACCTCAGGACTCAAGGAATGACGTGGGGTGAGTTCCTTGGGTTTTCTTTTTGCCTAATATATCCCAAACTTGGAGCTGAAGAAGTTCGCAGCCTGGAAACAATAACAGGCACAGATTAAAGAGCCTGCTCTCTCTAATCAAAAGACCAGGAAAGGGACAGCCTAGCAAGGCAGAAAACTTTTATGCAATAACTGCTCGGTTCTAGCCGAACACCACAGAAAGACTATGGCCCCCTCCCCAGCCTATGGCAGCCAAAGCTGAATGGGGATCCCAAACCTACACCCTTAACAAGTTGTAACAAGGTTCTCCAACCCAACCCCCCCACTCCACCCCCGCTCCCCACCACCAAGTTGGTTTCAGAGAAAGCTGAATAAGGAGCCAGGAGTTTCATCTCTGCTGGGCAGTAACAAACCTCCCTGCTGCCATGCCCCTGTTTCTCTGGTTCAGCGTCATTAGAGACCACATGAGAAGCCTGGCCTTCCACTGCCACCTGACAGTAAGGAGGTACTCCTTTCTCTCCCCACTGGAGTGATGCCTAGTGGAGAGTCAGGACTTTCACCACTTCCCAGTGGTGGCAGTGGAGGCCACAGGGGAGCAGTAATGAGACACTCCCTGCTCACCGCCAGGGTAATATTAGCAGAGGCCTGCAGGGCAGCCAGAATCCCTACCTTTGCCCAGCACTAATGAGCAGGCTCTCTCTACCTCAGGGGTCAACAGAAGACAAGTGGGAAACCTGGACTTCCATCCAGCA